TAGGACTGGATCACCCTGAAGCAGACTGAGTCTTCAGCTCTCAGTGGTCCTTAATAGCTGTAGTTCTTGGTGAGGTGGGAACTTTAAGAGTTCTCCCATCCATGGCATAATTGTTTTCTTTCACTTACTTAACCGTGTGCTTTCGAACTTCTCTATTCTGATTGTCCTGAAAGTATCAGGAGAGATTTTCAAATTGTAAATACCTAGTATTTTATATTCAATTCATTTTTGAACAATTAATTCAAAGCCTGTAATGATAGAACACTTTGAATCCTCATATTTAAATATTCCATAATAATACTAAAGTGTGACTCCTATCAAAACATATTTGTCTAAAGAAGAAACATATCTTCTGCTTTATACTGCATGTTCTGCCTTGCTTAATCTTCATTATTATCTAAAAAGCATTTCCTTAATTTAGTAGAATGATAAGATGAATACAGAAGACTTAAAAGCAAAATAAAAATTAGTACAACCAAACATTTAGAAAGTTAGCAGGAGATCTTAAGGCCAATGCAAGACTCCAATGGCTGGCCTCTCCTCGTGTTATCCCATTCTTCACTAACTCTGTTATCTATAGTGCTGTAACTTATTTTTATTCCTAATTATCATTATGTATTTGTAGGCTTATGTAAAGTGAAAGAATGTTAGAAAACATGTATTTACAGACAAGCTACTATCTTGTGATACAGCCAAAACTATTTGTGAACAACCACAGGTGGTTCTAACTGATTAGGATTTTTTCTCTAAAACTTTAATACTTATATTTGTATAAAATGACCTTCATAAACATAATTAAACATATTCTAGAGAGGAACCTATAACACAAAAATTAAGGCCCAGAGACAGATATGGGGTTCAAGCTTCAAGCTGAAGATCAGAAAAGCAAAGCAGCCAAGCTAGTAGCTGTTACATGTACCCAGGCTGAAGCAGTCCTTCCCTCAACATGGCTGGAGACTAATTCCGCAAAAGCAGCTTGAGACCAACTTGCCTCAGACTAAATATCTGTCTGTGTCATAAGATTAAAGGTGTGGGATCCCAAGTGCTGAGATATCCTTTGTGTGAGCTGTTTCTATCTTGTGTAGCCCTAGGTGGCCTTGAATTCGCAGAGATCCATCTACCTTTGTCTCCTGGATTAAAGGTGTGTGCCGCCTTGCCCAGCATCCTATAGCTAACTAGTATGACTGGCTTTGCATTTTGATCCTTCAGGCAATCTTTATTAAATCATAAATAACTTAGCACCACAGGAACCCATGGAAAGGTCTCTGAAAACTGGCAGTCCACATTTCTGGTTCTCTAAACTCAATGCACTCACTTTCTCCCACTGAAAAGTTAGTAATACAAGTGTACTAAAGCTTTTCCTGTTCCTTATTATTGCTGTCAACACACAAAGGATAATACCCTGTGAGTGTGCATGAGACATGGGAGTGACTTAGGCTGGAATCTTTCACTGCTCAAAACCAGTATTTTAAAATAAAGTGATTTGCCTAAAAGGATTATCGGCCTCTCAGGACAACCCCTTATGAGAGGTACAAGCTTATATTCTTTTTCAAGTTCTCAACTACTCACTCTTTAAGGGCCAGCTATATGGCTCAGCATGTGAAAGAATTTGCTGCATAGGCTTTATGACCCCAGTTCTATCCTTGTAACCCACATAAAGTTGGCATCAAAGTACTGGCTCTACAATGTTGTGCTCTCACATATGTTCACACACACACACACACACACACACACACACACACACACACAATCAAAGAATTAAAAAGGATTCTGATGGGAGATGTCATTCTGTAAATCTGTTTCTTGTGTTGGTTAATGAATAAAGTACAGTTGCCCAATAGGAAAGCAAGATAGGCGGGATGAGGAGAATAGGAGGAGTGGAAGAAGTAGGGAGGAGTTTCACGATGTAGGACCAACATGGTAGAACTCTGGGCCCTCTCTCCGGTAAGATAAGACCATGTGAAAATACTTAGATTAATAGAAATGGGTTAATATTTAAGACTGAGCTAGCCAATAAAAGTAACTAGTAATAAGCTAACAGAATTATATCTAATACAGTGTCTCTGTGTGTTATTTGGGTCTGGCGTGGCCGTGGGACCAGGCTGGTGGGAAACCTGCTCATAACAGATTTCCTAAACAATGTCAAGTATGATGTATATCTTAATTGCACAAATTTTCTCTCTCATTTGCCAATGTATTTTTTTGGGGTGTTTACACATCATAAACAGCATCACACTATTACTGAAATGCTGAATATTTGTATCTTTTTTAATCTTTATTCACTGTACTCAGAAATCTAAATGTCTTCCTTATTTTGAATGGCTACAAAAAAATAAGGCATTGCATTTTATAACTTACCATATCATGTCTCATCTCTTTGACAAAATGTAAAACTTCAAATCCTTGAAAAGATCCTCTACATAATATAATTTAGCTTATAATTGACATGCTTTGAACAGAGTACCCTTAAAACTGACACCATCAACAGCAGCAATTCTCTAGTTTTCACTGTGCTTATATGAGTGTTTATGTGTATGCATGGTTGTGTGTGTGTGAATAAAATGAATGAACAGGCGGAAATCAACCAACCTCAGGAATAATTACTCACAAGTCATCGACCCTGGGTTGCATTTTTTTAAGTATTTCTTTTTATTATTATTTTTCACATAAATGCAAATAAGGTGTCGAGGAGATTTCCTGAGACACACTCACCTAGTGATAGCATCAGGCCGAAGACCTGTTGTACACAGTGTGTAAAAGGTATGTGGGATCAAGGACATACCTCCAGTGTCAAGCAAAAAAAGAAAAAGTAGAAATTTTCATATTTCTGTTGAGAATATTATTTAAATTTGCTCTTAGTATAACATTAAAATAAATCTAGATTTATCACCAAATGCACAAAAGTTTTATAATGTTATTAAGAAACACTTTCTCTAAAATGTAGATTATAATAAATAAGACAGATGATATGGGACTGAGCTAACTATCAACTCTATCCACTTCAGTTTAATGGTAACAAAACCCCAATATTTATAAAAGTTAAGGAGTCTGTTCACTGGGATTCAGTAGCCAAGAAACCTTTGGTAACACTGCTCTTTCTTACTGATACTCAGTGCCGTGCCAGGGAGCAATATTTAAGTAACATTGAGAGTGGAAGATAAATTTTCCTAGGATCCCATCTAATATTTGTGTCATTAACCTTTTAGATTTTATGTGTACCATGGGAATGAAACTTACCAAATAAAATATTTTCTTTTATTTTTCTAGCCAATTAGTAATTATCTTAGTTCTATACATAAAAGATGGCATAATTTGTCAGAAAAATAAATTTTTCATGTGCAACCATGAGTTAAATTGTGATATCAAACCAAAACAAGCATCCCTAGCAGAATATGAGTGTGTCTGTGTGTGTGTGTGTGTGTGTGTGTGTGTGTGTGTGTGTGTGTGCAGAACCCATAACACCTAAAACTACCAAAATACCATAAAATTTAAAAAAGAATCATTTGTTCTTTATATCTTTTGTATTAGATATAATTGCATTATCACTTATTTTTTGAATTAATTTTTATTTAAATTAAAACAATCTCATTTTACATACTCCCTTCTTCCTCTCATCCTCCCTTACCACCCCCATCCACTCCCGAGGAAGGGTGTAGCTTCCCATTAGGGATCATCAAAGTCTGTCACATCATTTGGGAATGAGAGGTATCCCTCCATGAGAAATGGGCTCCTAAAATCCATTCATGCATTAGGGATAAATACTGGTTCCACTGCCAGAGGCCCCCTAGACTGCTCTGGCCTCCCCAACTGACACCCACATTCAAGGAGCCTGATCACTTAGTTTTGTTAAAAGATTGTATGTTCAAGTTGATCAAAATGAATTTCCCCTCATGACTATTGTGGTAAATCAGGATCAGGATAAACAAATAGGCCGAATAGATGTTTATTCAGGGAGAAATAACTTACAACCTAGACAGATGAACACCAGGAAATTCAACCCGATCCTCTCCTGTCCGAGTCACGCCAGAAAGAGAGAGCCTTCCCTGGCCCCCTCCGACCTCCTTCCACAGGTCACTTCCGCCCATGGCTCCACCCCCCAATGGGCGTGGTCAGTGCCACAGAAGGACTATCTCACTACACATGACCATTAGTATAAATGGCTCAGTGTACAACACAAATAACAAAATTTGTTTCACAAACACAAAAATGCCCAAATTATACACCTGTTAATTTTGTATTATGACAATAATACAATTCCTAAGACCTAGAAATGAAAAATAGTATGAACTAAAATGTTTTAAATTAATTAGGGGTTAGAGTTCCTGAAAATAAGTTTCTAATGACCAATCATTTTTTACATTTTTTTTTTTTAAATTTGGGCTTCTTCCTGATCTACCCAGAAATTTCTGTTACTGAATTTTCCATTGTACTGTTGATTATGTCCCCAGAGAAGCTAGCAGTAGACTTTCAAGAAGGTAAAAGCTAGTCTCCATTTATAGAAACTGAAGGTCTTCAGGCTGTTGAGAATGCAGAGGAGATGAGACCAAAGCAACCTGGCTTCAGGTCTGAGCAGAGGGGCCCCAGTGTGTTTAGACATTTTTCTCTGTAGGAAGCCACTTATCAGTGGTACTTTGGACAATGTGGTATGTTTAAAACACACTGAAATAATCACTTATGTAAAGAGGGATTCTCCAATATCCAAATGGGACACCTAAAACCACTGTCTTCTGTGTCTCCTGCATGTGCAAGGCTCAGTGAGTCATCCTATAATGTTAGATTTTTTTTTTTCTAAAATCCTTAATGAAATTGTCTTGTTAAACATGGCAAGGACATGCTATTAAAGTTTCAGAATTCTCATTTTCATATTAATCATTGGATTTATGAAAATGGTGTCATATAACTGGATTGCTATCATTTAATATAACATGAAACATAGTATAATGCTTTGATAAAGTCAAAGTTTTAACTATTAAATATTATTTTTTATTATTTTCTTTCAGATTACCCAACTCCTAATGGCAAAGACATTTCCTCATATAAAAGAAAGCGTTCAAAGGAAATTAATCTGACTGGGTTTGCATCTCCCTTCAATGGTCAGTTAAAAATTCTCTATGAAAGTAATGCTTATTGTCTCTAAAAATCCAAAGAATTACAAAAATGTTTTTATTTTGTTTTTGAGATTAATATAATGTGCATTTCAACTCTTCCATTTCTTTCCTCCAACTCTCCCATATACCCTTCCTTGTTCTCTTTCAAATTCATGACCTCATTATTCATTAATTGTTCCTACATACATATACGAATATGCATATACAGTACTAATATAACCATCTCAGTCTGTATGTTGCTTGTATGTGAGTTTTCAGGACTGGCAATTTGGTATTGTATAGCAAATTAATGTGCTCTTCCTTGGGGAAGATCATTTCTCCAGCTCCCAGTATTCCTTAATTGCCTGTAGTTCTTTAGGTAAGATTGAAGCCTCATAGGCTCCCCACCCCCATCCACATTAGCATATCCAATGAATTGCTACTCTTTTCTTCCCAGGAGAACTAGTTTATGCTGTCCTGTGCATGGTAGTTACCTGTGGAATTCTTTTCTTGGTGATGCTCAAGCTGAGGTAAGGAAATATAACTCAGGAGAGTAGAGATGTACAACATGGGGACCCGAGAATGAAGGTATTAAGTATAGCTTTGTGTAGGAATGATCTATAGAAACATTATTTTAACTACACATGTAAGGGAAATGATCACAGTGGATTGGTTTAATGTTGCATTTACAGGTACATAATGGATTATGGGCTACTTAAAATTAAAATGTTTACCAGTCTGTCACCTAGGTTTTCCCACAACAAACAGAACTATGCTGTTTCCAGTTCCAGTCCACATTATTTAGAAAACTGATCAATTCATGTAAGGCACCTCTACTGTATGATTCAGTTATATTTACCTAAAGACATATTCATCACTTTGGCTTCCTATATATTGACAAGTTTTGTTCAAGTTTTAATATACATTTATTGAAAGACGTAGTCAATGAGGCCTCATATCATACCAACAAAAACAGTGTCACCATCCGATATTAATGTACTGTTTGCAAGTCCTTTTTCTTACCTGATTTCATTGCCAAAATATGTCAATTTCTATTTTCCTAAATCTCTGAATTTTAAAATATCCTAACTTATTGAGTGCTGACAAATAAATAACTTTCTTATTTTTAATTGAAGAGAATAACTGGGAGAGCACGAGGTCAGGATATATTATATGAGAGAATAAAGTAAAGGAAAAAAGTATCATACTCACTTGCTCATTCATACATGAATGCATTTGTATGTTTAATTTGAATATCAATTATCTTTATATGTGATAAAGTTTGTTCAGTCAACTGCACAACACATATACACATATTGCTTTGCTGGAGGCAAGCTAAGAAACCTAACTACTGGACTTAACAGGCAGGCAAGAATAATAAAAAGCTGAAATGAGGAGATAAACAACTAGCTGTAGCAAGGGGCCATATACATGACAAATGGATGCTTTGCCTAAGGACACTCAAATTCATTTATTTTTAAATGAAACAAAGGTTTATAAAATACATCTACTTCTTGGTTTCAACCCTTCTAAGCATTTAACATTTTCTAAACATTTAACTTACTGTCTACCAAAACCAGTACAAAATAAACTGCTCTAATACCTAAACATTGTCTAAGAAGATATTCTATTAAGAGAGAGAGAGAGAATATTCTATATTCTGTGGGTTCCAATATATTTTTTGAAGTCCAAACAATTAAAAATCAATTTCTAGGCCATGCTCTAAATGATATGACAGACTTTGAAGACTCCCCATGGAAGACTTCACCCTCCCTGGGGAGAAGAAAGGGGATGGGATGGGGGTTTGGGGCTCAAGGGAGGAGGAAAGGGTTTGGGAACTGGGGTTGACATGTAAAACAAGCTTGTTTCATATTTAAATAAAAAATTATCAAAAAATCCATTTCTAAGGGGAGAAAAGTACAATCAACTGACTTTCTTTTATATGGTTTTAAATATTTGGAAACACCACTCAATTATTCCGCTTACCTAGATATTCCACGACAATCACACTGTACGAAGGAACACGGTTTGCTAGCCCAGTAAAATCCATAGAGAGATGGTTCTTAACTGTTGTTATTTGTCACACACATCATATAAAGTTGATGTTGACATTGGCTAAATAGGCTCATGAGGCCTCACATACAAAACCATATATACAGAATGCATTGGAGTTTCCCATAAATTAGTTATACTTTTACCTCTTTTCGGCTCAAACAAAAATGCATATTTTTTCCCTAGAGGACAGAGAATATTGTTATTATACACAAAATCTTGAATTTACTCATATATTTTACTGGATTGTTTTGGGTTTTTTGTGGTACTAAAGATTGAACTTAAGTAATTTAGTGCATTCTAAGGCAAGAGTTCTACTATTGAGTCATAGACTTATTTGTAATAGATATATTTAAGGTAAATTACTCATACTACTAAGTAAAAATTATTTCCCATGCGTTCTGTAATCAGACCCAGAATTAAGAACATGGCAAAAATCAAAGGCATTATGAAAAGAACACACACTATCAACCTCAATTTTCCTCCACCCCCAATAAAGAATTAGAGAATACTCCTAAGAGAGTTCAGTAATATGTCCCTGATAGCCTGTCTAACCATTGTTGGTGTTTACTCCTAGTCACTATGACGAGTTTCACATATGTTTTACATAGTCATACTAAATTTGAATACCCTGTCTTAAAATAAGTTTTCAAGAAACTTACAGATTTAAATTTACATACTTGAAAATAGGCCACTAAATAAGATTATTTGGAAACCACAGTAAAAAAGAAAAATGTGATATTCCTCGGAGAGTCTGTAGAACATTACACTAGTGAAACTTTACATTCAGGAACTTCATAATCTATATCCCGCAACAAAGACTCCATACCCAAATATAAGCATTCACATTTGTAACAAGCTGACACTGGCATACTAATTTTCTCTATTTTTCTATAGGATATCAAGTAAAAAAAGAGACCCCTCACCTATTGAAATAGCTGGAGGTGTCATCACTCAGTGAACCACAGATCACTATCAACTGCAAGTCTTAGTAAGAAAACAATGGAAAATTACATCTGCAAATAATGCAATTTAAGATGTATTTAAAGATATTGGGTCATTATATACAACAATGTTTGGTAATAAAGCATAATTATCATGGATCTGTTTTTTTTTTTTAATCTTAAAATATCTGCATAAATACTTTCAGTGATGTTATAACATTTCCTTTGGAGGCAAAAAAATACCATCTGAAAGGTAACAGTATTCCTTGAATAATATCAGTACACATATCAACTTTTCCTATAATATGACTCAACATAGTTAGAGCATGAATATTTCCTGAACAATTTTAGGGGAACAATAGCTCCCCATTAACTTGATAAAATGAAGATGCAAATGAGAATGTTCAATGTATTTGGTATTTGCATATTTCTAACTTTGGGTCCTACCATTACACAAATTATTAACATTAAACATATTTGATTAGATAATTGGCTGTAAAATTAAAAACTATCATCCAAACATCCAACGAATTTCATAATTTAAATAGTATTGAAATTTACTTTTAGTTTGGTGACTTAATATCCATAAATACCTAAAATAACTATGGTGGTTGAGAAAAGTCAGTGTTCCCTCCAATAATGATATATTTTGTGCATTTATTTTTTTCTTTGATGATTAATCATCATGAAATTCTGTAAAAATAAAGCCATTCCTAAATTGCTATTTCTATATTGCTACTTTGATCTTGCTTGTCATCAGTGTAATTGTATTTTAAAATATATTTACCAATTAACGAATATATACTTTAAAAATGTGTATAATCATGTCAGCATTCACTATTCAGAATCTTAAGGTTGTATTATCTATAGTCACACAAAAACACAAATTGTTAGTAACCCAGTGACACCATGCTAGCAAGTAAAGATATATTTATTTACAATTGAAGGTAAAATATTTTCCACCTGCTTTGTCTCATTTTTATTAACTAAAGTACCTACATTAAATTAAACTTGAACCTAACATTCTATTTAGGGCAACTGAAAAACAATATTTCACTTTTGAAAGAAATAAGACTTGGTAAATCACAAATAATCACAAGGGACTGCCAAACAGACTACAGCACTAGTTTTGGATCTTTAGAAAACAAACAGACAAATAAAAACAACCCCCCAATAAAAACCAGAAAACACATGTGTAGAGATTCATATACAGTAAGAAATAAAAATTAGGGCAGGCGTTAGTGGCACATGGCCACAGTACTCGGGAGGCAGAGGCAGGCAGATCGCTGTGAGTTCGACAGCCTGGCTACAGAGCTAGTTCTAGGACAGGCTCCAAAGTATTACACAGAAACCCTGTCTTGAAAAACCAATAAACAAACAAACAAATAAATAAATAAAATTAAAATTATAAAAAACACAAAATTGAAGACCATAATACACAATCACAAGACCAATGAGGTAAACAAATGCTCAAACAAGCAATACAAGAAAAAAAGTATCTACAAAAATAACATTGATTTCATTTTATGTTGATTATCTACTGCTAGGCATGGGGTCCGCCCTTAAGTATGGTTTGTAAACCCAACAAGACACCACTAGAGAAAACTAATCCTATTTCCAAGCTGTTGTCATTATAAGATGGCTTCTCGTGTTTCCTTGTTTTGTTTTTAATCTGTATCCTGTTGTCACTTATATCAAAATCAATACAAATTAATGGTGAATAGAATATACATTTTTGTTTTTGTTTTCTAAACTTATCCCAATTGCAAGCCAATAAACTCAAAACTAAAATCTAAAGGACAGTATCTGCATTTCTTCTCACATCCCTGGCTCGCTCTTTCCATCTCCACTCCGCTTAGAACTTGAGTTCTCTCACAGAACTGTCTGAAATGAATCCACCATGGTACTTGAGTTTCCCAAGTTGTTCCCCAAATGCTTCTCTGAGACATCTATGTCTGTTCAAATTGCAAAGTCGCCTCTGTAGATAAGCCTATTGTGATAAACACACACTTGATCAGATGTTCATAATGCTTTCAGCTTTCTGTAACTTTCTATAAAAACTGCCACAGGCCTTTAATCACAGAGACTTGAAGTTTTAGTTAATAAAGACTGGCAGGCTTAAATATAAACATACAATCTCATTATGTTATGGAATTTTTCTGTCTAGTTTATATAATTGTAATCTATGAAGTGTAATGTATGATTTTGTATTGAGTGTAATGGATATCTGGTATTTTCATTTATAACAGAGATATAATCAGATAAAATATTTTCTAAATCTTGTGTGTCTAACAGCAACTACAGAAACTATTTGAAGTAAAATATCCATTCTTAAACCTCAAGTTTGTTTTGGATACATGCTCTCAGTGCAAATTAAACATAGTCTTTGATTCACAAGTAAATATTTTAAAATAAAGTTGGCACATGTTATGGATAGACATTCTTAAGGGATTAAGAAAGACATAACATATCCTTTATTATGTTCCATATAATGATACTAATAGAAACTCTGTGTGTCTTTAGAACACTATCGTGCAAATGGAATCAACATTAAAATATTTTAAGGTGTTACTAGGTACTGATGGCACACATACTTGATCTCAGTACTTGCATGGCAGAGGCCTGTGGATCTTCGAGTTCAAGGCCAGCAGCCTGGTCTACAGAGTGAGTTCCAAGACAGTCTGGACTACACAGAGAAACCCTGTCTCAAAAAATAGTTTTTTAAATATATGTTGAATTTTCTGTAAAGATTTGCATTTCTACGTATACATGTAGAATGTAATATATAGTCTATATAAATTGTATAGTTTAATCTTAATAAAATTGTGCAATCTTCTATAGGTTTTATTTTCAGTGCTGAGAATTGAGTTCAAGCTGTTTCATATGTTATCAGGCATTATACTACTGAGCTACATATTCTTACCTATTTATAGAACTAAAAGAAAAAAAACACTAGTGGCTAAATACAGGGAAAAATGTATCAAAGAGTCATAGCATTCAACACAAAGAATTATTAATTAAACAAAGATTTATCATATTTCATAATATTCTAATACCCAAGAGCCACCAATATTTTCCCCTAGCTGTAATTATGAAAGTTTTGTACTTGCTAAACAAACCAAACAGAAATTCTCATTTTTAAGCTTCCAATTGTGTTTTTTGAGTTCCTCATATTACATTCTGTATATTAGCTTTTTGTCAAATGTTTTGTTCATATACCAAGAGTTGCCTTTGCAATCATTTGACTCTTTCCTTTTTTACTTTGTAATTTGATATAGTTGTTTCTTCCTATTTTTGCTTTGATTTTCTATGCTTTGGGGTTAGATCAACTCATTTAATCACTATGTACACAATGAAGTATTCAATCTATGGAAGGAGCCTACCTAAACCAAGTGAGGTTATGAAATATAGTCTACAGACACACACACAGGTCACAAGGCCCTGTTATGTGGTTCTGAAATTTCAATCCTTATAAAATCACAAGGGCAGACTGTTAAAAAAGATTCTTGCGCTCTACTTCTAAAATATCTGGTTTGGCTTTTCTGAAACTGGGTGAGAATTTGCATTTCCAACAGATCTCTCCATACGCTAACACTCCTCCTCTGGAGGTCACTACAAGTATATCTCAATTCTTTATATTCACTTTATTATCTGACTAACTTTAGGCTTTTATATCCCCACCCTTTGTCAGAGATTATGACTAAATAGATACATCATGGTCCAGAGTATTGGCATATCTTTGATTTCCTGGTTTTTTGCTAGATCTCTGAGGAGTGAATCTGCTACTGTGCATTCCTGTGGGAAGTAAAATTGTCAGTTATTTCCTGTGTAGATTGAAATATTGTGCAGTACTGAGTGAAAGCCAAATTAAACTTCCTTCTTCAATTTTGGCTTCCTGTCTACCAGAGTTGCAGTGCCACGTTGATTTGACACATGATTTGCACACATCTTGTTGCTGAGAAACAAGAAATAAGGAAGTCATATGCCAACACTACCTCTAATTTTTTGTCTTTGGACCCAAACCCATGCAAGGATCAATCAGGAGTGAGAGTTGATGACTGGAAGTGCAGGAATTAGTTACTGAGAAAGGGTGGAGTCAGGGTGTCAAAGTTGGACTTCATACCTATATTCCTTTCTTTCTTCCTTCCTTCCTTCCTCCCTTCCTCCCTTCCTTCCTTCCTTTTTCAGGTTCCAAGCAGAGCAAGAGAATCCAGATCTTTTATTTGTTTTTAAACAAACAAAAACATTTTTTATTTAAATTAGAAATAATCTTCTTTTACAGTTCTCTCTCCCTCCCATCCTCCCATGCCCTCCAATGACCCCCTATCCAATCCCTTTCTACCTCCCCCCCAGGGAGTGTGAGCACATCATTTGGGGCAGGGCCAAAGTCCTCCCAACTCCCCTGTGTGTTCATACCTATCTTTCTTATGCTCCACTCTCTCCAAGGGTCAAAACAATTATGTTATTTGTGACTTTTCTTGCATCACACCTTCCACAGGTTTTGTATTATAACTCGAGTATGACAACTTGAGTCTGCAAAAGTTGGATCATTACAGGTACAAGTTTTAAAAATTTAGAAATCGTTGCTCTTTTTCTAAACAATGCTGTTGCTTTCACATGTGCTTGAAAAGGCTTAAACTGACAATGGCTGCTTTATTCTGAGACTGGAGTCAACCTGTCTCTCCAGGAACGAGTGCTTCTCCCTCACTCCTTCCAAAGCTGGAGGATACCATGATGCAAGGAAACCAAAATTATACATAGAGGGTTTAAGATGTTCTGTTATTTTTCTCTTACAAGCTCACAGTGCTCGGGTAGAAAACTGGCTAAAGTCAAAGCTACTTCAGTCAAAAGTTAATCAAAATACATGAGTAAATAAGGATAAGGAAAGTTGGAAGAGGTAGGGATTGGAAGCAAGGCAGGAGAGAGAAAGAATAAAAGAAGTGGGAATCTAGAACCTCAGAACTGTGTATCCTTTTCACCCTGGCATCTTCCATGCTGTTTCCATTGTACACAGAAG